GAACCGGGCCCGCCCGGGACTTAAGCCCTGCAACTCATTTCTGTCGATGGAATGTCAAACTGGGGTGGACCAATAAAAAGTCGCATTATTTCTGATTTCCCATTATTTTTTTCCCCTACTTCTTTGTAATTTGGTCATGTCAGGTGACCGCTCTCGACCAATGGGGTCCTGGTCGAACATCCATACCGAAGAGAAAACCAGACCAGATGAGACTGATCAGTAATATTCAATATATGAAGAAATGATAGAAAAACAAAATTTAAATTGATATGTATTTGATAAATTCTGGAGATAAAATTTTTCCGCCTTGTCGGCGTCTTCCGCACGAAAACAAATATTTTACCTCTTTCTTTCGCTCGGGCCTGTTAACAAAATCTTAATTATCTAAATTGAAAACAAATTTTTGGGTGGTCTTAGAACTGGCTTATTTTTGTTTTCGTATGGATTCATCTCAATGACACCCCTTTTCGTTCGTTATATTAATATTTTTTCTTTCCTCACCTCCACCTCATACGTTCGAGAACCGACATCTGCATCAATCGCGCGTGTGCCTATTCGCTCACTACCCCGAATTATTTCTTTCTCAACCAAATTAACATCATTTTCCATTTCGGATACTGATGGAAGACAAAAAAAGTTTTGCTTATGACCGGGTTTGTACTATCTATTTCTCTTTTTCTTTCTTTTTATTATTTTTTTTCCTTTTTCTTTCTTTCGGATCGCCTTTTAGAGAATTATTCTCAAAACTCAATTCTGTTGTAACTATCAAAATTAAAAACCGAATAAAAATTTTTTTTTTATGAATATCTTATTTTCTTAATGTTAACATGGACGAAACTTTCCTGGAGATTATCATCAGCCATGATGATAAAGGCGCTTTTAATGATTCTGTCTTTTAATATTTTCTTATTGAAAAATAAGGAAAATAAAAGGACACTTATAATTACAACCAAAAAGAAATAGTTGACATTTTAGGGCAGAAAATGAGGAAAGAAGGCTTGGAGAATATGACACTCACAAGACATACTGAAGATACACGATAAAAGTATTTGAGATACAAAAGATAGGAACTTGTGGAGAACGATGATCAACAACGTCCTGAAGGGACACGGCACATAGTAGAATTTCTTAATTGAAATATCTCATCGGTTTTACGAGTTACTTTATGTTGTGGCCTGTTTAGGGGCCAGAAAGAAAGACAACGGAAGACGAAGGTCGGTTGAAAAAAGGATATTGAAGATATATACAAAACAATAGTGTTAGTAATAAGTAGATTAACACTGCGTCTACTACTCCACTTCACTTCACACCCTGCACTCCCGTCCGACTCTCGCAGTTTGTATTTATGAGAGAAGGAAGAGTTCATTATACTGTAAGAGGGTTTACCACAACACTTTAATAAATCTTAAGGTGAGTTAGACGCCAAATCGAATGAAAAGAGTTATCCGTCGAGAACTCAATGACTGATCTTCCTGATACGCGCCCAATTACTTATCAGTGACATTTGGCAAGTCATAGGCCAAGTCTGTGATAAGCACATGCTATCTTCTCAGGCATTATCCTGTTATTTAAGAGTAAAACGCGCCACTGAGAAGCATTTCTCTTGATTGTCTCTTATTCTAAACAACTCCGCCATGTCACTTTTGGCTTTGTTCGTCACACTTGTCCTTATCGCCTGTGCCTCGACAAGCAAATTCTGTTGTGGCCCCGAGAGCTACAGCTCCCAAACCTTGGTTCACATGTACAGAAATGGAGTATTCTACGAGGTAAGCTCATTTATAATGACTGGCGACAGGACCTAGCTTTGTATGTTGAATTTGAATGCTAAGGTGATTTTCTTAAAAAGTGAAAAATCACTTTAAGAAAATCAACTTAGCATTCAATATAGAAGCTGGGGTTTGATACATCAAAATATTACTATTTCAAGAATAAATACAAAGTCGATCCCTTTTGTATTAGATATAGTGCTTGGATAATATATTTAAACCAGAATTTTAATTAATCACCACAAGCAAAATATGCAGTTTTTTTTTTTAATTGTATTTGATAAGTAAAAACTGTCTAAAAAAATTGTAAAAGATTACGAAAAAGGCAACTCAATGAATAAGATTTGTTGGATCGTTTGTGAGATCATAATTAATAAAAACAAAAAATAGATAAAAGTGTATATAACACCAAAATAACACTGGGCACAAATTATAAGAAAAATGTTTTAAATTTGCATTGTTTATTGAAAATCATACTGACTAAAACTACTGCAATGTATAATATATTACATCCTAATATAACTAAATTGTTCAGTATAATTTCCCTTTGAATTAAATGAAGGTCTCTTTTGATGGCATAATGATTTCGTAATAATGTGATTGTGCCATGCATCTTGTCCGTATTTGTGAAGCTTCAATAAATTATAAATATTAAAAGGCTGTGCTATAAGGCTTCATCGGAATGAAATTCCAACAATTTTGATCCTAAACTTAATCTTCAAAGTTGTTTTGTTGAAAAACAGGAACGGTTTTGAAAAAAAAAGTCTCGTTACTTATCATATCAAACAGCAATTCTAAAATTGATTGCGACACTACGTTTGCAAAATCGACCTTCCGTACTAAGGGAGAGTGGGTAGCTAATTTTCATTAGCAAGCATTGCTAGCAAGGTTGAGTGCCTTTGAGAGGTCAATGAAAGGCGATGTATTCACGACATTTCTCCTAGAGCTAACATCGAGAGAAGATCATGTCAGCTTCGAATCTTTTAGAACCACAATCCACATTGGGGATTCTGGATAGATACGATCAACAAGGAATTAGTGTCGAGTTAAGACCACGTGAGCAAAGACATTCCCAAAAATGTTAAAGAGGAATATGTCTTGTTTTTATACGGGGTAATTTTTCTTGTTATTACGCATGTCCTGAGGAACATTGCCTTCTATCTAAGTGTAACTTAGATGTGACACAAGGCCGAAAGTACTGAGCACCCATTGAGAATAGAACTCCTTAGTCAGTCATAATTGTTCTAACGAGACAAACTTGTTAACCATTACACCACATCGAATCTACCAATCTGCCTTTCATGAGAAAAACAATTTTTCAGCGTTTTTTCAATTTTGTATAAAAAGTCTGAAAATCTTTTTCTTATGAAAGGCAGTTTTTTAATTTCAATGTAGAGGTTTTATTTCTTTGTATGAGAAAGGCTGAAAAATTTCATTCTTTTGAAAGGTAGGGGTTTCATTTTGTTTATAAGAAAGACAAACAATCTGTCTTTCTTTTAAATGTTAGTCTATCATTTTTTATTTTTAAGAAGATTTGTTTCTCGTTTCACAGGAAGGTTTTATTTCTTTGTATAACGAGTTTGGGTTTTATAATTCTTTTTGTATAATGTACGCTGAAAGATCTCCTTTTCTTTTGAAATTTATGTTTCTTATTTTATAAGAAAGATTAAAAATGATTTGTTTTAAATGTAAAATTTTGTTTTAAATTTAAAATTTTGTTTTAAATTTGAAAATTTGTTTTAAATTTTTTTTTCTTTTAAATTTAAAATTTTGTTTTAAATTTGAAAATGATTTTTCTTTTTAAATTTGAAATTTTGTTTTAAATTTGAAAATGATTTTAATTTATTATATTATGATTTTAATTTTATTATATTATTATAAAATTTTATTTTATATATTTTATTTATTATACTAATATTTTATATATATACTATTTTATATATTTTATTTATATATATATTTTATAAATTTTATTTATATATACTATTTTATATATTTTATTTATATATTATTTTATATATTTTATTTATATATAATTTTATGATATTTTGATATTATTAAAAATAGATACAATATTGAATTTTAACGGTATTTTTGAATGGTATTTTTATTTTTAATTTATCTGATACAAATTTTAACATATGAATTTTTCAATCTTATATATATACGTTCAGGTGATCACGTCTCTCGACAACTTCTAATTTGTAGCGCTTAATAAAGTCTGTTTTGTTTGCTATCTCTCGTAATCCCTGTCTTTAGGTAGACTATTTTCCTGTTTTCCTCTTTCCCATTTGCCTTCAGTATGTCTCGTGAGTGTTACATTTTCTAAGCCATCTTTTTTCATTATATGCTTTACTAGCAGCATGGCCCGGCGTTGTCCGTGCTTGATTCAAAATTCGTACGACTCATACAGCAATCGCTATCACTTGACTTAATATATTTTTGCCCTTCCTTGCCTTTAAAGGAGTGCCCTTTGCCGTGCTGATGTTGCTACATGCCTTACTTCTTGCCTATCTCACACTGCAAATTTTTTCTAAGCTCTTTACTAAATTTGTTACGATAAAAGTACTAAACAAAATGAACACAAAACGATCAGCTTTAAAAAAGGACTCGTAACTGGAAAAACTGAATGAAAAAGAATGTTAACAACAAATACTTTTTCACACCCAAACGTTGAGTTTAAGCAAGCGAATGAGCCAATTGGAGTAAAGTGCCATGCAGATTTAAATTTTTTCCACTTGTGATGAATGCAGCTATCGAGTTTTTTTGCATGCTAGCATGCTAGTTAACATTCGTGTCAGTCATCTGTTGGCTCTCATGCTGGCTAATAGAGTCTTCCTGTCTATTGGTGGAAGCCAGCTATAGGCTCTTACTCTGGCCAGTACAAAATGGCCGCAAACTACATGAAAACTGTCGTAGAAGCATGAACAAATCGATTATTTCCACTATCGATGGGAGTTGGGAAATGAAAAGTCGGTGTTGGCCTTCCCGCTAACTTGGAGCATGTGCATGTAAATTTTGGTGCAAATTTGTCGAAAATTGCGGTCGTGCATTCGTTACACACACACACACACACACACACACACACACACACACACACACACACACACACAACACACACAACCTGTCTTTTATAGATAGAGATATATTTCAACTGTAATTTTCTGATTCTAAGCGTAAGTGTCCTTTTTATTTATATGAAGGTATTTGAAAAAAAAATCATTAACAATCAACATGCCTCGTTTGAATTCTCGCGAGATCTCATACTGGTTACTTTCTGATGGGTCATATTTTTCTTTTTCTTACAGGGTAAGGGTGCGCTGTTTTTTGACAAAGGAATTGGTATGACATCATCATATACTTACTATGGCAAAGATGAAACAAAAAATAAATTCCTCGTTAGTACTTATTTAAATTTGAAATCGGTAAGTGTAAAACATCTTTTTCATTCTCACTTATATTCAGGTCGCATTTAAACGTGTAAAGGAATATCGATTTTTATGTCTTGGTGAATCAATGGATTTCATATTTTTTCATTAAATTTTTACTGTGTATTGAAAATTTGGCTTAGATAAATTTCTGCGTGTTAGGCGAATTCATAAAGTAAAAACAAGGAGTATATTTGTCAGGAGGCAGCAACCGTTACTCCAGAATGGGATTGGGGTGGGGTATTTTGAGGGGAATCGATTAATAATTCTACCATTCACGATAATAAAAATCATGACAAATCGAGAAAAGTTACCAGATAAATTATTGAAAAAAAAAAACTGTATACATGAGGACACCGAAGTGTGAATCCCCCTCATTTTAATCCCCCTCCCCCCAGCAAAACACAAACAAAAAGAAAGAAACAAAAAAGGAAGGAGAGAAACAAGATTGATTTCTTATTGATGTAGCTTTTCCTGGTAGCCGTAATGTCAATGGTTAAAGAAATTGAAAATCCTAAAAGCACATCGGCCTACGAATTGAAGTTGTCAGATTATGGAACACTGAGGCCTGTATTGTCCAAGTAATCACAGGTGCGTTGGGATTTAAACCCACTGAACGTCAAGTCTTGCATAATAAATCATTATAAAGCCTAACATCCCATCGTTTCAGAAGTTTACGTTACTTGGCACTGAGAAATATGGCGCTGTCTGTCTGAGGTCGTAAGTTTAGACAGAAAACACTCCGGTTGAAAACGAGAAACGTTGCAAGAGAATAGAAAAATTATTATTATTCTTATTATTAATATCGATAGCTGTAATGATATATATATATATATATATATATATATATATATATATATATATATACCTTGTATATATATATATATATATATATATATATATATATATATATTGTACCTTGTATATTTGTACATCAGCGTCATTTTGTTTGTATGCTGTCCTCTCACTAGCTACTACTACTACTACTAACAATAACTACCATTACTACTACAACAAATACTAATAACTACTACTATTACTAATACTAATAATGACGACTAACAATAATAATAACTACTACTTCTAAAATAACTACTACTAATAACTACTACTATTGCCACTGATAACTACTACTAATAATATTAATAACTACTACTACTAATATTAATAACTACAATTACTACTACTACTACTAATACTACTACTAATAATAAATTAGCCGAGAATGAGCAAGGGAAGATCGTATGATGATTGACAAGCGCTTGGAGAGCAATCGTCCTGGTATCACACTTGTAGAAAAGAGCAGACATGAATGGATTCTAATAGACGTTGCTCTACCTTGGAATAAAGAAAAAAAAATATTCACATGGCTACACACTATATATATATATATATATATATATATATATATATATATATATATATATATATGTATATATATATATATATATATATATACCTAAGTATAGGATTGATGTAGACGGAATAAATTCCAAAAACCAAAAAATACTATTCTTAAAAAAGCGCTCAATACAGAGTAGAGCAAATATAATTATTTATTCGAAAATTATAACATAAATATGTTATAAAATCACTACAAAAAAACTTTATTCTACATTCAACACCATCACTTGATAAGACACCAGAAATGTTGAAACAAAATGGCTATTTTTGTAATGATTTTATAACATATTTATGCTATAATTTTCATTTTATCAGGCGATTGTAAATTACTGGCGAATGAACGATTTATTTAGATTTCAAAGCAAAATACAGCCTCCTTTTACAAAAAAAGGAGTATATAAGATTTGTGGGCTTTACTCTGATCAACCAATCAAATATGACCTATGTTAAATTTAAACTAAGCGAAGAAGCAAAAATTTAAAAAAAATTATGAATGGTTGTGACCCATAGATTGGCAGCTAACGGCAGCTAGACAAACTAGTGTTGGTGTAAATGGATACATGAATTATACAAGCTAGACAATGGCATTTCCTAAGAAATTCCTGTTCTCATCTTTATTGTCATATTCACAATGTTTCGGCCGTTGTACTCTCCGGCTTTCTCCAGCTGGTACACGTTGGAATTTCGAAACGAACCTTTTATTTAGCCTACGAGGGTAGATTGTTCTAATCCCATGGGTCATGCCTCATATCTCAGTTTCATTTATTTCCCTTTAGTAACTCAACTCTCTAAGTTTTTTGTTCACGTCAGCTCTGGTCTGGTTGATTACTTCCAGCAACACTTTTATCCATTGGGACGTGTATCCTTGAGGAAAAGAGAAATCACAGCCTTCTGCGGGATGAGTTTGAAATAATAGACAGAGAACATTACTGGAAAATACGAAAACTTAAGGAATCGGCACATATGCTAGGACACAAAAATCTCCTGAGCTGACCAAGCATAGAAATGAATACAATATGGGAACCAATAATAAGGAGTGCCAGAGAAAAGCAATAAATAACAAAAATTGCAATATAAGCTCTGGTAAAAAAATGTAATAATAATAACATAAAAATTGCAATATGAGTACTGGTACTTATTGACACATTAAATTTATAAGTCCCAAAGATTCACTCCCCGATATCCCCAAGCACACATGGCCCAGTGGATAAAAGGGTCGGTTGGATCCAGTGAATTGAACCAAAGAGTTGTAAGATCATTTTTATAAAAAAAAACCCCAAAAAAACCGAAACGTCATAAATTGTGACAAAAAAAGAAAAAAAAAAAGAAAAAAAGGGCAACAGTCCGAACAATGTAAATAGCGTAAATATTTACAATATCTTATCTCAGAAATATAGACACATCCTGAAAAAGACCTGTGCCTATAATGGCTGAAATGTCGGGTATATGACAATAAAAATAAAGACAACAATCCGAACAATGTAAATAGTGTAAATAGTTACAATACCTCATCTCAGAAATATAGACAGATATTGAAGAAGACCGGAGCATAGAACGATCGAAATGTTGTGAATATGACAATAAAAATTAGAACAACAGTCCGAACAATGTAAATAGTGTAAATAGTTACAATACCTCATCCCAGAAATAGCGACAGATCATTAGTAATTCTATTGTCATTATTATTATTATTATTAGATCCTGTCCGGTTCTTGGGTGGTTGGGGGCTGGGCGATAATGTTCATATCTCAGTCACTGGTCGATTATAAAAGTAAGACTAAGTAGAATCTAATCTCTGTGCAAAAGGACGTCACGGGTTGCCCGACAATATATTAGTGGATCTAATTTAAGGTTGACATAAAGTTGAATAAAGGAAGCATCCAATGAAACCTGCTTACATGACGAAGGTGACAAAGAGTAAATGTTATTTCGTATCGAGTAATATATTTATTGAATAAAATCTTTTTTTTTTTTTTTAATCAGAGTGATATGTACGTTGTATATGGCGAGAATTGTACCAAGTTAAAATCAGACATGACCTGGTTGAAAAACCCCGAAAAAGCTAATTGCATTCCAGGTACGAAATATGCTCTACGATTCTTCTTTAATACACTATTTCTATTTCTCTTACTTTCTAAATAATGAAACCGCTTCCTTATAAAAAGTTCTCTAAATTATGAGCCAATGTTTGGCGCGAAAAAAAAAAAAATAGCGTTGATTTGGTTCCAAGGATTTTAATAAATTTCTCAGTTTTATGAACGAAGTCTGGGATTTTCTTTTCATCGGTATCACCCCATGCAATGCAGTAAAGCCACTAAAACACAAGAGTTAACAGGCTGTGGAAGAAGTAGGAACAGAAACAATAATGACGGGAAGAGAAAAGTGTAATCAGGTAAACAGTAGATAGCGATTGACATTGCATTTAAATTTTTACAGATTAAAGTCGGCTGGAAAGCATGGAGCCGGAAGAGAGTTCCACAAGCGAGAAGTGCGAGAAAAGGTACTATTAGCATAGAATCTACGGCTACATCTGGCCAGCGCAACTGTAAATCGATGAGATCTCGACACCAGTCTAGTGCTGCGCTTAAATTCAAAAAACTCTAGGTACCATAGTGATGAGCTCATCTGAACAATTACCATAAAAGTATTTATAAAAAAGACATAGAGAGAGGCAAGTGGGAAAGTGACTGAAGCTGAACCGCCAGATGAGGACCAATAAAATTGCAGATTCTTCTTTGGATCTTATCAAGGAGCTTAAGGTAAATAGCAAGGAGACGGACCATATGTGGCAGCAATATTCTAAGTATGGACGAATGGTAGACTTATAGATATGTAAGATAGATTCTGGAGAGAAAAATTGTCTCGTACGACAGAGCGAACCAACATTCTTAGCAGCTGACCTAGCAATGCATTCAATATAGTCTTTCCACTTCATGGCAGCAGAGAACGTTCTACCGAGGAGACATAATGAGTCAATTTCCTGGAGGTTAGAATCAGCCCTATTGATGGAAGGCAATAGAATGAAAGAACATCCCAATGTAGTATAGTGGTATATCGCTCATTAATACAATGTGGGAAGAAAAAAACGTAGTCCTGAAGAGCCTCACACATACAGCACTATCGTAATTGGACTTATTATGGTGAAAATACTATTTCACTAACTAGACACTCATCATTCTACGAAAGCCAACTTCTAAGAAACCAGTTTGGCTTTCCTTCGAATAACGGATGTAATAATGGTGTATGCGTCATCAAAAAGTGAATCGTAGACTTGATGAATAGAATGTTGTATGCCTTATGGTCGTGGCCGAGTGGTTAGATCATTCGATTTCTGGCCAGTGCGCGGCACGTTTGGAAAGTGCCTGAAAGCCATACCACGGGTTGACCCAAGCCTTGTGATTGAAATTAGGGTAGACGGTAATCTCCGGGGCCGTCGATAGCTGTGCTAGCACAAAGACACAAGTCATCGTGGCCGAGGGCTTGAGCGTGTTGGCCTTGTTCAAACTGTTTATTACGCTAGGTAACACGCTCTCTCCCACTAACGTCTGCTTAGCATAGTTGTAGTATAAATCACAAGTGGTCTGTGGGTGTTGAGCAAACACAAATGTGCCTGAGCAAGCGTCTGCAATAGGGATTGGCTAGCCGTCCTAAGAGTATATTTTTACTTGAACAAATAATAGCGGATTTGATTAAAGTGCGAGAAAATGTAAATTTTTTCTCGAGGAATCGCCGCTATTAATTGAAGAATACTTTTGGAAAAAATGACATATTTAGTTCCATGGTCAGAGAAATGCGATCGAAAATCTGAAATAAAAAAAAATGTCGTAAAATTCGTTTTTTGATAGAATGATATTTGGGGAATTTGTCTGATTATTTAACCGTTTTTCCCCGTAGGGCAACCATGTGTATTGCATCCGCAGTAGAAGTGGTGTTTCTTGGGCAAGATAGCCTTACGGAGCCCGACCCCCTCCAAGCCGGTTTTGAATTCAGAGTTTTTCCATGACCTAGACCTGTTGCTACCCAATGCTATAGAACCCAGTCTGTCCTGCTACTTACCCATAGTTGGGCGGAGAGCAAGATGATTCATACTTTTCCCAACGATATTAGCACGTAAGTGGATGTAATGAATTCGACTGGGATTCGAACTCGGCTCTCCGATTCCACAATCCTAGCCGCTATCCATTATTCCACCATGCCTCGACTTAACCGTATAGAAGTCCAATTCTTTAAAAGCGATTGTTAAAATGCTTGTGGTATTCGATGTTTTAACATTTTCGATCCCAAAATACGGTATTAAATCAAATTTTATTTGTTGTAAAAGATATCTTTAAAGAGATTAGCTAGCTATCTCCTACTATTTTAAAAGCGATTTTGTGGATACCCATATTTGAATAGACGCCCTTATTTGCGTCTACCGGCTTGCGGATTCGAGAGACTTAATTGCAGAGGTTGATAGACGTAATTCACACTGTTTACAAAAACCAGCTGTTTACATTAACATGGGTATCCACAAAATAACCTTTGGAGCAGCAGGGAATAAGATCAGATAAAAAAATCATTGAAATTGAAATTTCTTTCTTTCTTTCTATCTATCTATCTCGATTTGTTCCAATCTATCTATCTATCTATCTATCTATCTATCTATCTATCTATCTATCTCGATTTATTCCGATCTATCTATCTATCTATCTATCTATCCATCCATATTATAAGTTTTTGTTTTTTAGATAATGCGAAGTTGACCAAAAGTTTTGTTGTGGGTGGACGCCATGAAGATGTCGAAATGAATCAATTCAATATTAAAATGAAAAATGGCCAAGCAGAAATGTTATTCACCAAAAATCACTGTTTTCCTGTGCAGGAAATTGTCATCTCTAATAAAAACAAAAAAGGGGGTTCAGGTACGTCTTTTTTCTTTTTCCTTTATGTCTCATGTTCCTGCAAAATTTGTACGATTATGACTCTCCACAGTTTCCAATCACTCTTAATTTATGTTCTGCCATCGATTTACACAAAAAATGTTAAGTAGATTCATCGATGTTCCTTTCCGTTCCTCTTTCATTCTATATGTCCTGTGGGTGACACTTTTTCCAAGCCTTTTTTCTCATGTGTCCTAAAAATTTAATCTCATTTCAAGCGTTTTTTTTTACCCATTTTCTTTTAAACTTCTTCGTAAGCTCATAGTATTCTCAAATCCCTTCTGTAGAATGACATCTGTGTTGCTTCGGGTCTCATCTTCATCTGCGAGGAAATTGCCCAGGATTCATTACCATATAGAAGGACGGATATTATGTAAGAGTTCAACACTCTCTGTTTTTGCTCATAACGAATGGACGAAGATGCACTTCGATACTTCCAACCCCCTATATATATATATATATATATATATATATATATATATATATATATATATATATATATATATATATATATATATATATATATATATATATATGTGTGTGTGTGATAAAAATATGGGCACGTGGCCGCGTGGTAAAAACGTTGGCATTCTGACGCAAAAAGTGTTGAATTCTTATATAATATCGGTCCCTCTATATGGCAATGAGACACGGGTTCGAAGCACGTCAGCCTTGTGGGTGAAATTGGGTAGACAGAACTCTTGGGCGCCGTCGATAGGTGTGCTAGCACGAAGTCGCAAGTCATCGTGGCCGAGGGCTTGACCGTACTGGCCTTGTTCAAATTATTGATCGCGCTAGATCACGATCTTTCCCAGAAACTGTAACTAACGTCTGCTCAGTATATTTGCAGCATAAACCACAGGTGGGCTCTCTGAGTGTTGAATAAACACAAATGCGCCTGAGCAAGCGTCTGCAATAGGGAGTGGCTAGCCGCCCTAGTAAACGGGTATCCCCGAATACGAGTGGTCAGCTATATATATATGATAAAATATAGTTTTGTGGTCTGCTATATTTAAAAATTAAAGTGCTTAATACGAGGGATAGGGCGTACGTAAATATAAAAGTGGACATTGAAGTCAACACTGAAATGCGAATGTCTGTTACATGCTTAAATGCAATTGTCAGTCCATGTATATATATATATATAATAATAATAATAATAATAATAATAATAATAAATGATTAACCGTATTAGTAACCCTATGGATAATTCCAGGGAGGATATAACTCCCGAGAGCTCAATGTAATAAACAGAGCAAGTAATAATTAATTAACAAATCGGAGACTTCAGAAAGCCATGGTAATATTTTATTTCGCAAAATCGATAATTAGATTTTGTGAAATAAAATATTACCATGGCTTTCTGAAGTCTCCGATTTGTTATATATATATATATATATATATATGAAAAGGAAACTGAAAACGCAATTGCCGTCTTTAACTATATTTAGAGTAACTTTATCGGTTTCACAGTTCTATGATTTTCAAAAGTTACATTGAGATAGAGAGATGTGTGGCTATGACATGATCAGTTTTCGCATCTGACTTCTTTCCGCTTTATATAGAAAAATGTGGCACCAATTGCTATCTGATTAAAATAAAAGCAGATTGGTTGATTATAATCACGTGACCAGGCATAGTAATCTTTGCGCCAAAATGATGATAATAAACACTATTATGATAGAATCAAACACTAATATTCCATGAGGATAGGCTCAAACACTAATATTCCATGGTTGTATTTTATTACACTGGAATCGTAATAACGATCCAATTCATCAGACCGACAAATTTAAAAAGCTTTTTGAATTTGTAGGTCTGATGAATTGATCGTGATTATGATTCCAATGTAATAAATTATAATCGTGGAATATTAGTGTTTGAGCCTTTATATATATATATATATATATATATATATATATATATATATATATTATTCCTGATTCACTTAGGAAGTGGAAAGAAAACAATCTAATTCGAGCAACATCAAGATTTATTCTTCAAAATAAAGTCCATCATTCTCGATGATCTTCTGCCAGCGATCAGCCAGCATCCGAATCTGTCCCAGATACCAGTTCGTTGGCTTTGAATTAAAAAAAAACTATAAACAAGCTTCCTTCATTTCATCAAAAGTGTTGAATCGTTGGTCACGGTGCCATTGAGCGGAATAGGCCATAGTCACCCGGAGCAGCATCGGGACTGAATGGTGGATGTGGAAGAATCTCAACACTGTCCATCTGTTTGAACTTCTCCTTAGGCCACCAGGTAGTGTGTGGCCTCACATTGTCTTGCTGAAACCAAGCCTGACCTCGATTGACCAAAGCAGGATACGCCTACTTTAGTTTGTCGTAAAGGCGGTGTAGTTGTTGGCAATACAGTTTGGCGTTATGGTGCAACCGAGCAGAACCAGCTCAATACTAAAAATGCAGTACTTCTGGGAAATTCCACCAGAGATTTGTGTTTTTTCCGCTTCGTAAGTGCGTCGGGACTTTTTGACTAACCTAGTATATATATATATATATATATATATATATATATATATATATATATATGTGTATGTGTGTGTGTGTGTGTGTGTGTGTGTGTGTATATTTGTGAGCGACGGAGGGGTGAGCAGTCATTTCTGGAGGCTGTGTCTTTTTTCCTTGCCCCCTTGATGTTTCAGTAAACAAGCCTTTCAAGACTTACATTCGAAAATTGTGGACATTTTGGGTGGTATCTGGTGAAATGGAATTTACTGGGCGATTAAAAAAACTGGATTGAGCTTAGTAGTAGAATTGGTAATGAAAGCCTGGGGCAGTATATGTGAGGAACTGATTATCAAGCCTTTGCATTTGTGGCAATGAAGACCATATGATGTATGACGATTTGGTTGGTTCAAGCACGAAAAAAAGATTGAAGAAGGAGATGAAAATACCACAACTGATGAACAAATGAAAAGAATATTTAACAGTGATGATGATGATGAAGAAATACTTTGGGATGTCAGTCCTGATGAAATTTAATAACTATATCTAAATGAATAAACACTTTTTTATGCTTTAATATATGTCATCAAATTTTTGAAATACCGTATATACTCGCGTATCCTGCGACTTTTGACGACCTAATTTTGAAGCTAATTTTAAGAGGGTCGCATCATACATGAGGCATAAAATTAACATATGTACTGCTGGCCCTGGCTACGACGTTGACCAGACTATATATCCATTTACTGTAGTGAAATTAGTTTCAAAATTAGGCCTACAAAGGTCACATGATACGCGAGTATATACAGCAACTAAAACATACTTATAGATAATCAAAGGAATGGATGGTAAAAAGTGGGGGATCAGTTTTGTATTGTTCTTTAATATTAAACACATCCTCCATATCTTGGCTATAGTAGATTCATAAATAAAATTCCAAAATATCTTTATAGTTAATCAAATGAAAGGATGATAGAAAGTTAGGGATCAATTTTGCATTGTTCTTTAGTATTAAATTCATACCCCATTTTTCGGCCACTGTATATGTTATCCATTTCTATAATCTGGACAGGATTTAAGTAACTTCCCAAAAATATTCTTATAGTTTGCTTTGTTATATATATATATATTGTATATACTCGACTTTTGAAGACCTAATTTTGAAGCTAATTTTAAGAGGGTCGCATCATACACGAGATATAAAATTAGCTTATGTATTACTGGTCCTGTCTACGCCGTTGACCAAACTATATATCCATTTACGGTCGTTAAATTAGCTTCAAAATTAGGCCTTCAAAAGTCGCATGCTACCCGAGTAAATACGGCAATTAAAAATACTTATAGATAATAAAAGGTAGGAATGGTAAAAAGTGAGGGATCAGTTTTGTATTGTTCTTTAGTATTAAACATATCCCCCATTTCTTGAACATCCTGATATATGGTGGCTTACACGACTCTGGTATTTTTTCTGATAAAAGATAAGCCTGAAAAGTATTATTGATTTACTACATATACTTGCGGATATATCCCACCAGTAAGTAGGTCGTACCCTTAGTTTGGGGTTATCAGAATGGGTATTTGTGGTTGACTCACAGATTGACCGCACTATAATCTGGGGCGTTACATGGTCCTTTTTTTTTAACGTAAATATAACTAACATGTGTTAAATATTTTCAAATATTCACCCTTACCGTATATACTCACGTATCAATCGACTTTTGTAAACCTCATTTTGAAACTAATTTCACTGTAAAACTAATTTCTTTATGCAGAATCCTATATTCTGTGCCATACCTTAGCCTTGTTTTTGTCTCCTTTTCATTATGTTGAGAATTTCATCTATCATCCATTCATTTTCTTCTTTGTCTATTTTTTGTTGGGAGGATTATCTCGATTGTTGAAGCTACTAAAACTTCACTAATGTGTTACCCTTCCAGATTCCATTCTCATTTTCTCAATTGTATCTGCTTTTCACACCATTCATATATTTCTCCTTCACATTCCGGTCATTCAAAAGTCTGTCGTATTTCACTTAGGGCGCCGTTTTGTCCCTCTTTCTGTAGTTCCATATATCACTGGAATGTGGTCGCTCCTGCAGTTGGCTCTTAGGTATGTTTTACTGTGGAAAGCCACCTCCCTGAATCATTTATTGATATTTATATAGTCTTTTCCTCCTGGGCTTCTCCATCTACATATAAGTCTTGAGTGTTCTTGAAACCAGGTTCTTGCATAGTATCTGATCATTCTCCGTAGATCATTGGATCCATTTTTTCTCCGCGTTCATAACAAGTTCCATGTCCGAAATTGCCAACTATTTCATCATCTCTCTTTTTGCCTAAATTGGAATTCAGAACTTCCATGACGATTATTATTATTCGAGATTTGCATTGAGCCTTGGTGTTTTCTAGCGTAGAGTTAATCTTTTCAAATTCCTCTTCCTTGTTTTGTGCTGTCGCTGCATACACAACTATAGTGGATATGTTGAACGGCTTACATTTCAGTTTAAAAACAAAAATTCTTTCAGAGAGTCGATAGTATCCCGTAACACATTTCTTCATGTCCTGGTCTAATATCAGTTCTACTCCTCTTTCATTTTTTGGCTTCTCAAGAGTTCTTCCGTCATTTGTTAAGTCTTATCTTTCATCCTTTAGGTTTGCTACTAATAACACAACTCGCTGGAAAGAAATTGGAGTTGGGTACCGGTTTAGTCGCCCAACATCCGACTATACGATACATACACAAACATACACACATGCACATATATATATATATATATATATATATATATATATATGTGTGTGTGTGTGTGTGTGTGTGTGTGTGTGTAAGTTTTAACTTAGGTATGAACAGTATTATGATTTTTTTTATTTCAACGTAATTTCTTATTTTGACTTTCTCGAGTTGATAGTGAGAGAGGAATACAATACCTTGTCCAGGGTTTGCACCCTGGGGTCATAAAGTGTAGCGGGAAAAAATATCCGTGACTCATTTCATGTCTTTTTCATCTTTCCTCGAAATTTTGTGCTCTTACGTTCTCCTCTATATCTCTCTATATCTAACATTTATAAAACTCATTTTGTCTCTCTCTCTCTCTCTCTCTCTCTATCTATCTATCTATCTATCTATCTTACTCTGTTAATATCTATCTATCTATCTATCTATCTATCTATTTATCTTTGTTCATACCTATCTATCTATCTATCTATCTATCTATCTATCTATCTATCTATCTGTGTGTCTGTCTGCCTGTCTATATAACTATCTTTCTTAGTCTGTTTATATCTATCTCACTCTGTTCGTATCTATCTATCTATCTATCTATCTATCTATCTATCTGTGTGTCTGTCTGCCTGTCCATATATCTATCTTTATTAGTCTTTTCATATCTATCTCTGTATGTCTCTTTCTTATATATATATATATATATAACACTGTTAAATTTTAATGTTTATTGAGTTTTATTTTTTTTTTCCTAGATTTATTTTATAAGATGAACATGGTTAACCTAATACCTACCGTGAGTGACCCAACTGTTTTTGTTGTACCTCGTATCTGCACAAAGACGCCTTTTTCGACGGTAAGTTGGATTTTCTTTTTAAAAAGACGGAAATTCCTTACCAAGTTTGGTACAAGGCACATATTAATAGAGTATCCGGTTGCAGTAAAGTCACTATCACAGGCCGATACTCTTCTTAATGCTGCAAACCCGAAATATTTGTTTGTGGAGAAATCAAATTCAGACAGCGCTCCCAAAGCAAACCTTGATTCTTTTAAAATAAGGAACAGGCAAACGTACCTTTTTGGGTTTGTTGTTTTTGGTTGGAGTACCACGCCGTGGAACAATGGTTAGCAAATGACTCTCATTACTAATTTAATGAGTTACTTTGCTCTATATTTGTAGCCTTGTGCCAGACAAGGTCTTAGTGAATAATGCACTGTATTCTTTTTCTTCTTATTTGATGCAATTTGTTCAACCAGTCCCCGTGGAGAAATCAATTTTGTAGATTTCCTTGAATTAATTCCAGTGTTCGATTTTATTTTCAATTTATTTTAGCGATTGGTTATTCTATTTTAGACAATGATAAATTTTAAATTAACTAAGAATAATTATATCGTAACCACTGATAATTCTATTATCAGCATTGAAAATTTAATTGTTGGAATGTATATCAGGAATTAGTAATTATAATTTAGCAATTAATATTTCTAATACAGACACTGATATTCCTATCTTCCTGATTGATAATTTAAATTTTAATAATTTAGTTTACCTATTGATAATTCTAATTTACATACCGGTAATTCAATTTGATAAATAAAATTAGTGGTCTTGGTGTAAGCAAATTTCTGTACGCGTTTTAAAAATATTCACTGAAAAAAATTGAATACGTATAAAATATTCGATTAAATATCGAATTCCGATCAAATATGTTTTCAGGGAAGGTTTTTCAAGAATTTTTGTGAATAGGATTTTTCTTCATCACTGTAAACCGGTGCCCCTGTTGTGCGCCTCTTTTATCAAAGCAAATTACGAAAATGAAATTAATTGAACTAATTAACTAATAAAAACAAAAACAGAATGTCCCTATCAACTGCAATGTAGAGAAACGCTATTTTCATATTTTTAACTGAAAAATAACGTCAGTAATTGTCACGTGTGGAGAATATTGTCATTATATCTGTGTTGATGTATTCAACCATTTTCTTTTGATTTTATGAATCTGTTGTGTATATTTGTTTGTAAGAGCATTAATTTTGTTAAGAAAGGTGAAATGGGGAACAAACCTGGGCTTAGATTAATATTTGGGTAATTTTCTATGGCGGCACTCTCCAGAATTTTCCTTCTGAGTTATTTTCTTTTTTTTATGAGTGTAGCATTTTTAAAATCAAAATTATGGTTAAAATTTATTTCTATGTATGACTAGTGCATATATATATATATATATATATATATATATATATATATATATATATATATATATATATGAGTCCCACTTGATAACTGTAGTTAAGTTGAGCCTCAAAAGACGCTCAAATTAAGGAACCTCTTCGAGAGTGCGTTCATTCATCATGACTGGTGATAATTTATAATCCCGGTGATAAGGAAATGTTACTTGCTAGAATTCAGTAGCCAGGCTCTGGTCGTCTTGATTTTGGGAGGTGCATCCATAGACTGTGGTATCGTCGGCATTACTAATGTTCTTAGAATTCTACTTAGTCTTCCTTCATACGACGCTTGGTCTTGACGAATGAGAATACTTACTGTTTGCAATCTAATCTCGTTTGTAAATACGTTGTACGCTTCAGGTAAAAAGGACAAAACAACACAACATGCAATCGATAATTTGCAACGCTAAAATGAACAATCAATCCTAGCATTTTTCATTTTTCTTTTATTTCATTGTAGGAGGAAAACGTTGACAGGAATTTGCCTTTTGACCCCCGACACTTCGTTCCAAGCTTGGGAAGGTTTTATTAAGCTGTGAAGAATTCAATCTGGAAAACCAAATCCGGAGAAGAAAAATCCATTCTTTTGCTTGTAGACTTATGATAAAATCTTTGAGAAAATTGATGACGGAATTGGTATTCTATTTTATTTGAAGATAATCTTATTTTTCGAAAATTCTATCCTCACAAATTGAAGGTAAGAGAGAGACGTGAGCCTTGTAATAATTCTACTATATATATATATATATATATATATATATATATATATATGGGAACAGGTAGGCTACGTACATACACGCACTTATAGTTGCACATACGTATAAAAATATTCTTCCTCAGGTATCATAAATATAGTAGTCAATGTTGTGAAACAGTGCTATTAATGTATATTATTGAATATACATAATACCCATATAACAATAATATTCTTTCTCTGTCTGTCTGTCTGTCTGTCTGTCTCTCTCTCTCTCTATATATATATTAGTGAAAGTACATACTATATATATATATATATATATATGTGTGTGTGTGTGAAAATATATAGAAAATAGAACGGAACTGGTTAGGTAAATAATCCAAAGTTCCTTAGTATTCTAATAGTGTACAACTTAACGGCATACCGCGAAATTGATATTAAGGACATCGGACTGTATAGGGATGACGGGCTCATGGTGGTGAGGAGTTCTACTAGTTTTAAGATAGAAAAAATCAGAAAAATTATTTTTAGTGAATTTAAGAAACTAAACTTACAGGTAATTGTATCTTCTAATTTGAAAAGGGTAAACTTCCTCGACGTAACTCTAGACTTACCAGGCAACACATACCAACTTTATAGAAAACCAAATGCTAACCCTTTATATATACACCCGAAGTCAAACCACCCTCCATCCATAATTAAACATATACCCTCATCAATAGAAAATAGAATTAGCATTAACTCCGCTAATAAGGAAATATTCCAACAACACAATGGCTTCTATAACACTGCCCTAAAAAATAGTGGTTATAAAAATGCCAACATTAACTATAGAGACAATTGCACTGGCCATAAGAGAAAAAAACAGGAAAACAAAAATCATTTGGTATACCCCTCCGTTCAACCAAATGGTTAGTATTAAACTCGGACAGAAATTCTTAGCTCTAATTGATAAACACTTCCCCACCAATAGTAAGCTTAGTAATATATTCAATAAGAACACCCTAAAATTGAGTTACAGCTGCTCTGAAAATCTTGAACGTATAATAAAAAAACACAATAATAAGATCTTGAACAAACCTCCATGCCTGAATAGTATTAATAAAAACCCTGCACTTAAATCAGACAATAAAAGGGAAAAATTATGTAATTGTAGAAACCCAGAAGACTGCCCATTAGAAAATAAATGTTGTATTAATTCTGTGGTATACCAATGTATTATATCATCCACTGAGAGTCCTAGCACTAATATGATATACATTGGTCCACGAAGAATAATTTTAAAGATAGATGGAGGCCGCATAAGTGCTCTTTCAATAATATAACTAAAAGAAACCAGACTTCCCTATCTAAATATTTTTGGCATCTGAAGGAAACAAATAGAACTCCTAAAGTTAAATGGAAAATTATAAACAGGGCTAGAACATGTAAAACTTGGGATAACCCATGTCCTTTGTGCCTCCATGAGAAATTGCACATTATTAAGATTCTAAATAATAATAATCTATTAAACAATAGATATGAGTTAACGGTTTATTGTCGACATCATCAGATTCATGGTTTGAATAATTAGCTAAAAACAAGCATACAATGTAATAACTTTTATAATCCATAGCCCAAATAAATAGTTTAAATACCCTACAAAAAAGATAACCCTTTATGAAGTCGTCAAAAAACAAACGTTACGGCAAATTTTTTTATATGCACAAATCTCTTTCATAAAAAAATAAAATAAAAAAATAAATGAATCTCCATAGACACGCAAACCAGACTAGAGTTATACTTCTTCCGTTCCAAATTTAGACACCCCCACCTTTCCCTGACTTGACATCTAGGAAAGTTACTCTATACTGATACTTATTATTAACACCCAACACACGCCTACCCAATTTAAACAATTCGCCCTAGCTGTTACCATGGAAATTTTGATTTCAATTATTAAAACACGTAAATTTCAGAAATACGTTATTCCAAAAAAAATTTCGCTTGATGATGGAACAGAGCTTACTTTAACTCAATTTAATTCAAATAATTATATTGGAGTTTTCGGCTCTTGTTTTGAAACATGAGACCTCTTATGTCGCGAGTTGGAATCATATTTTAAATAAATAATATATATATATATATATATATATATATATATATATATAGACTCCAAGATGTCTAAGAGGTCATATATATATATATATATATATATATATATATATATATATATATATATATGACTATACGTAATATATACATATAATATCCTGAAGATTGCGCTCAAGCATGAAACATTGTAATGCTTGTTGACTTTAGTATGCACGTTGTTTTATATATATATATATATATATATATATATATATATATATATATATATAGAGAGAGAGAGAGAGAGAGTTTGATGATCGCAAAAGCTTAAATCCCAGTTACAAACTCTTATCCATACGACTGAATACACACACACACACACACACACACGCGCACGCACACACACACACACACACACACACACATACATTAATATATTCATAATTAAGTAATCCATCGAGTCTAGAAGAAACCTCAATAGAATGCAGAAAGCACTGGACGGCCGTTTCGTCCTCTCTTTGCTTGAACCGTCTTCTAATGCTCTGCAGTGAGAGGCTTGGGGGTAGTAGTCGTAGCTCGTGGGGTGGGGGGGTCACAGTCCTATGGGTAAATGAGAAACTTGGAGAAGTGCCACCACGGAATTTGTAATTGAGCGACG